GGCTTCTAATGTCCTGGCCCCACTGGTGGACCTCCTGGTGGCACTGGTATTTCTGGCCACTGTGTGACACAGAGTGTTGGACTGGATGGGCCTTTGGCCTGATCCAACATTGGCGTCTCTTATGGTCTTACGTTCTTATGTAAGAGAGGGCCACGAGAACTAAGCACTGAGGCAACCCTTCCTGCCCTCCCTCTCGTGGTCTGCCTAAGTTCACTAACCTGCTCTTGCCAATTTTCATTATCTTGCACGCACACTTCTTTAGATACTTATTTTGCTTCACTTTCCTAGGAGCACGCCCCATTGAATAGACTTACGTAAGTGTCTTGTTGAAGATGGTGTGTCTGCTACGCCCCCTTCTGGAAAGAGAGGCTCTCGCTACAGCTCTCCGGGCTGCCAATGGATACTGAAGCCAGAGTGGTGTAGGATCTGAGGGATCCGGGTTTGAACCTGCACTCTGCCACAGAAGCTTGACCTTGGGCTAGTCACTATCTCAGCCTGATCGTTGCTGTGAGGATACCAATTCCAATTCACACACACAAAACCTTTATTGGCACGAAGGCACAAAACATCATGGAAATACGGGAAAATACTAAGATGCATCAGTCACTTACACTTGGCTATTCAAGCCTCGTCTTCTGATGGCATAATATAAATATCTTTGCAACAGCCTCCATTATTTCGCATTTAGAATTAAACAGAAGAAAGTGAACAACTGAGTCACCAGAGTGCCAGCTCTTACCCTCTAGAAATGGAGTAATAAAACGAGATTGGATATCCCTATAGAGGGGGTAATGAAGTATGGTGTGTGTAGTGGATTCTATATCTTTTAGAGAGCAAGGGCAAAGTCTGTCTGCATAGGGTATCTGGCGGTACCTCCCTAAAAGCACCTCTGATGGCAGAACATTAAAGCGTGCAAGCAGGTATGCTCTGCGATGATGTGGGGCTGTTAAACTTGACAGATACCCATACTTCGCAGTAGACCCCGTGTCAAAAGTCCCCAATCTGTTTGGGGAACATCTGCTGGCTGCGCGTTCCCTAAGTTCTTGCCTTTGGATGTCGAGAAATCTTTTGTTTTATAATAGCATAGGCTTGTTTATCTGAAAAGGGGGCTAAATAATACGGGGATATTCCCATTGTAGAGAGTTTCTCCTCGACATATCTAAGCCATGGAGAGAGATGGGACTCAGTTAACATGTGAGTAATAATATTTTTAGCTTTAGCATGGAAATGAAGTTTAAGCCAGAACTGAGTTGTTCTTAGCCATGCTCTGGTCGATAGAAGCCTTTGATTGGTTTCTAAGCATAAAGCTGCATAAGGAACACAAGAGGGAAGTCCGAGAATTTTCCGCAAGAATCTGGACTGAATTCTTTCAAAGTCCCTATTTAAGGCTCCAATCCAGATTGGTACTCCGTAGAATACCAATTCCAATTCCAATCACCTTTATTGGCATAACAATAACTGTATAAAAAGAATAGCAGTACAAATTAACCCATATGTCAACAAAGGGAAACAATCGGATTACAGCAGTTTGTAACACTGTATATAGCAAAGATAAAAATTTGGAACAGTAATCTCGAATATTGCAGTAATTAAAACAGCTACAATAAGAAGCTTAACTATCCGAAGAGGATGGACACACCTTATCTCTCTCGCTCACTCTCTATCTCCTTTCCTCTTCCCGCCTTTCTTTCCTCTTTTTCTTGGCCCCTGAGTACATTTGCCAGGAACTCTGCCACCTGCTCAGTAACTTTGTGGCTTTTGTCCGCTGGCAAGAATTCAGTACCTCTATTGGTCGCAGCCTTTGAGAGCTGAAGGAGGGGAATAATCCGGTGTGAACGTAGCTGAGTAAACAGCGGGCAGTTTAAAAGGATATGCGGAACAGAGTCAGGTTCTTTGCAGAGGCCTCTGCAGAATCTTGCCTGCTATGAGGATACAATGCGGGGTGGGGTGGGGGGGACAGGACCAACGTGTGCCACCCTGAGCTCTTTGGGAGAAGGGTGTAATAAAAATGTGGGTGCGCATGTGTTGTGCTGTCAAGTTGCTTCCAAATTATGGCAGCCCTATAAATTAATGACCTCCAAAAAACATCATATCATTTAACAGCCTTGCTGAGGCCTTACAAACTGAGGGCCTTGCTTCCTGTATGGTATCAATCCATCTCATGCTGGGTCTTCCTCTTTTCCTGCTGCCTCCAACTTTTCTCGGCACGGTTGTCTTTTCCCAGGATGAGAACGCTACAAGGGTCAAGCTACAGCAGATAAAAGAATATTAAGATAAAATTTTGTACACAATAGTAAAATAGAGAGAAGAGAAGAAGAGGAGATTGGGTTTATACAATCTCCTTCCCTTCCTCTCCCCACAATAGACACCTTGTGAGGTAGGTGGGGCTGAGAGAGCTCCGAGAGAACTGCCCCTGAGAGAACAGCTCTGAAAGAACTTGTGACTGACCCAAGGTCACACCAGCAGTTGCATGTGGAGGAGTGGGGAATCAAACCCGGTTCTCCCGAATTAGAGTCCACGCTCCTAACCACGACACCAAAATATAAAACACAGGGCATGAATAACAGGCTGTATTACACAAGCTGTAATAATTTCCCATACAAAGTTGACGGACATGTGAAATGACCAACACAAGACCGCATGCGTTTCGGCCTCAAGGGCCTTCCTCTGTGGTCAATAATACATACTTTTTAAAAAAACACACACATCTAGGAACTACTATACATCAATCCTGACCAGGTGTTTTTATCTCATATATTGTGCGGTATGATGTAAACTTATAAGGCACGCCATGGGTCCCTTCACACGGTAGCTGCACTCACACATATATCTTCACTGATGCAATAATCTGGTATCAGGTTTCCAATATTTCTATGTGTGTGTGTCATCAACCAGCAATTGAAGTCAAATGACTGATGATGATTGATGACACACACGTTGATGATACTGAGGCTGAAATGGTCTTGTGTTGGACATTTGACGTGTTCTGCAACTTTGTATGGGGAATTACTGCAGTTTATGTAAAGCTTGTTCTGATCCTTAATGCAGCCTGATATCCAGGCCCTATGTTTTTAATTTTACAATTGTGTACACCATATAATGTTTAGTCATGCCGGCCACATGACCACGGAAACGTCTTCGGACAGCGCTGGCTCTTCGGCTTTGAAACGGAGATGAGCACTGCAACCCTAGAGTCGGATTCGACTGGCTTTCGAGCAAGGGAACCTTTACCTTTTACACCATATAATAAATATTTATTTTGATATTATTTTATCTGTTGTAGCTTGACCCTTGTAGCACTATCAGTATCTTTTGGGTTGAGTTCTTTCCCCCTTTCCTTTGTTTTTTCCAGTGAGTCACATCTTCTCATTATGGTTGCCAGCCTCCAGGTGGGGCCTGGAGATATCCTGCTTTTACAACTGATCTCCAGCTGACAGAGATCAGCTCCCCTGGCGAAAATGACTGCTTTGAAGGGTGGTCTCTATGGCACTGTACCATGGCCCTTCCCCTCCCTAAACCTCGACCTCTCCTGGATCCACCCCCAAAGTCTCCAGGCATTTTCCAATCCAGACCTGGCAACCCCACTTCTCATACAATAGCCTCAGTTTAGTCATTTGAGAGAGTTCAGGCTTGATTTGATCTAGAACCCACTTATTTGCCTAATAAAAATATTATAAGCAAATAAAGGCATTGGAGACTTGAAAGGGCCCAGAATGCTGGTTGTTGCTAAGACCCGTTTTTATGCACTGCTTTAAAAAAATTACTTTCTTGCTGATCTATTACTATGTATATAATTAATACAATTCTGAAAAACTTTATTTCTAAAACATTTATTTAAAGTTATAACTAAGCCTTTGCAAAGTGCTTCTTTGAATTTGTTACTGTAAAGCTCCATTAAAATTAATCTGCAGTTATGCATAACATATATATAATGTACGCCTAATAAGCACATACTTCACTTACAACAGATAACACGCCCGGCCAGGTAACGCCTCTATCGTCATCCCCGCTGCGTTGCTTTCCCTGTTGCTAGGGAACACCGATACTCCGCGTTCTAACACCGGGGAGGGGAAAGCCTTTTGCCTCTCGTGTCATGGCCGCCATTGGCGAATGGGCTCTGCGCCTGCGTACAGAGAGTAGACAAGGAGCGCGTTCCTCTCTGAGCGAATGACAGGTACGGAAGAATATTTCATTATCATTGATTGCAAAAGTTTTTCTGTACATCTCCAATAAATGTATTAACTGCAAGAAGACACTCCCCCCCCCCATGCCTCTAGTGTCATGGCCGCCGCGCGGAAGCTGCTACTTCGACAACCGAACCTACACGATAATAGATCTTGCAGCGAATGCGAGAGGCGAGGGAGGAGGGGCCCCCGCAGCCTCTTGCCTCTTCTGTCATGGCGGCGCCTACGTGGTCGAGCTGCGCCTGCGCAGAGAGGTCAAACGACGCTGAAAGGGGAAAGGTGGCCAAGATGGCGCTGTCCATGCTGCGGGGTTTGCTGTGCTTGTGCTAGACTTAGATGTGACGGTTTTAGAAGCGGCAGGGGGGGAGAGAAGCAAGCGTAGCCTTCCCAGTCAGGGTAGTATTTAGGAGGCTTCATGTGGTCGTTCTGTTAGGACCTTAGAAGTGAATTTTTGCCCTCTACCCTCGGTGCGGCAACCGCTAATGCTTCAAAGAGAGGTTTGGGAGTTGTCTCCGGGGCTTTCTTTTGAGGTCGCCTTTGGCGCCCAATAGCCCCCTATTGCTGAGTCCCCCAAACATTGGGCACCCAGTGGGTGACATCCACAGAACCTAAGGAACGGCTACTGCTTGGTTCCCTGAAGAAGGTATCGGGGTCTCCCTTGGGGATGTCCTTAGTGTGCCAGAGGGGGCTCTTCCCAGGCTTCCCAAGACGGTTGCAGGTATCTCTCTCGGGGGTTTCTCTTACCCCACGGAGAGGTTTCCTTGGCGATCCCAATGGGATGTTCCTAAGCCTCCCGAAGAAGATCCCATCTGAAGGGCTCTCCAGAAGCCTGGCCAAAGCAGCTGGGCCGAAAAGCATCCGGGACCTCAAAGAAGCGGATGATGCAGCCCCCATTTTCCAATATGTGGGGGGACAAGCCAAGAGGAAAAGGCGAGTGTTTGTGTGGGGTTTCTCCTTCTCAGGAGCTTTGGGCATCCCTACTTTTGTCGTGCCCGATGCAGGGTGGAAGAAGAGGAGGCGGATCCAGCCCACTCCATATCGTCTGGAAATGGAGGAGAAGGTAAGGAAGAGGGGAAAGAAAGAGAGTGAGCACACAGTCTGCTCTCTTGGAATGCTTCAGTTATCAGTAGAACAAATGTTATTGTTAAATATGCAAAGCTGCTTTTATGCTGAGTATAAGGCCATCTAAGTCATTGGCGTCTGCTTTGGTTTGCAGTGGCTCTTCAGGAGGTGAGGCAGAGAAAGGTCTTAGATAAGGAATTAGATAAGCATATGGAGCAGAGGTCCATCAGTGGCTATTAGCCACAAGGTATAGATAGGGACTCTGGGGCAAGTGATGCTCTGTCATCTTGGTGCTTGGGGGGGTCAACAGTGGGAGGGCTTCTAATGTCCTGGCCCCACTGGTGGACCTCCTGATGGCACTGGTATTTCTGGCCACTGTGTGATACAGTGTTGGACTGGATGGGCCTTTGGCCTGATCCAACATTGGCATCTCTTATGTTCTTATGTCTTTCCTAACACCTGCGGCCTGAGATTCTTTAGTAAGAAATGCCACGGGTTGAGTACAGGACAATTAAATACATAAATACAAGATTCGATATACTAATGCAAAGCTGTTGATCATCTCATCTCATTCTCAGTGTGGCATAACAGGATTTTCAGTGATCATCCTCTTTAGAATATTTCACTGATGCCAATTTCGTCATTTTAATTGCATTCCATACTCTTATCAACCATTCTCTTTTCCCAGGAACGTATTGAGACTTCCAATGGTACTTCCATTGCCATAACCACTTGCTATGGTTAATACTTATTTGTTAGACATGTTTACCATTTTTTCTCTCCAGTGTGGACCTTCAGTGGCTTACAACGTGGTTCTCCCCTTTTATTCGCCCCTCGTATCTACATAAGAACAACCAAATGAGCCAAGTTTGATGGAGAGTGTGACTGGCCCAAGGTTGCCCAGTGAACTTCAGTGGCAGAGCAGGAATTCAAATCTGGGTCTCTCAGATCCTAGCCCACTACTCTAAACACTATACCACAGGGGTTAACAGGTTTAATGCCACATCCTGATGTGGTGTATAGACGGTTTTAACATAGTTCAGAGGAAGAAATCAGCTCTAACAGGCAAAGAAGGATTAAATACCAGCAGATTATTTTAGGTCCATTGAGATCTCCAAATATCAGAGAGTTTTTACCCTGGCTCTCTTTAATGCTCTACCTTCAGCCCTTCTGGAAGGCAGATACCATGTCATACAGGGAAAGTAGAGTCTGTTGAACATGTTCTGCTGCATTGCCCATTCTACAATGATATCCGCATCAGTATATTGCTCCAGTTCTCTCTATACTGGGAAGATCTGAACAACTTAATGTCTCCCTCCTCCTTGCTGACTCCTTTCAGGAGATAATTTAGGAAGTTGCCAAATTTTGCCTACAGGCGTGTGGGGTATGCAAATGGCTGATCAAGTCCCAGTAATTTTGTTTTCTTTTTGAGGCGGGCATTACTTTCTTTGTCTTCCCCCCCCCCCCCCCCCAATTTGTGTTCATTGTTTTGTGCTTGTCTCATTGCATGTGCTTTTCCTTTTACTATTTGCTGATTTTTGGAGCTGATCTTATATCAAAATAAAATTTTATTGGAAAATACCGCCATTGTAATTCCGGTTATTTTTTTAATGTAGTCTATTAAAGACCCCTCATACGGTAGAAACCAGCCTTTTCACCTGATGT